GGAGTCTCGCAAGGACTTGGACGAGGGGCCTGCATCTGATGCAGGGATGGGGCCAGGACTATCTGAGAGTGGGGTGCTGCCTTTGGAGCTTTTGGAGTCTGGCAGCAGTGAAGCAGGGGACCCCGGGGAGCATGTGCCCAGTGAGCATGTGCGCATGGCTGCTCAAAGGAGAGAGCAGCTGAAGCAGCAAGGGCGACTCAGGAATAAGGCTGGAAGGTGACGGCCCCTCCCATAAGGGATAAAAACCAGCCCTCAGGGATGTGTTCTTTGCAGGAAGCAAAGAAGTTCTCTGAGTCTTCGTTGAAGACCTGCTAACTCTGGTTCGTTTTTGAAACTTCTGTCGGTGGATATTTATCAGTAATTAGACTTCTGTTCTTGCCAGTCTTTTACAATCTTGAAAGGGCTTGCTTTTATCTCAGACAATTAGGTTTAAATGACTCTTGGCTGGGAGTGCAAAGAATTCCCAGTGCCACATTTAAAAAGGTTTGCTTTTATACACAGTTTATGTTTGTTTAATTTGAACAAGTCTTGGGTCAACTTGCCTAAAAGAATACCTTCCTGAACTTCATCAGGATGAAAGATATTTGTATCTCTAGGTGGGGGGATGCTATTGCAAAAGGAAGGTCTTACAACAGGAAAGGCACATTTCCTGTATGCCACGAGATGATATGACTTAATTCATGGGAATCCAAGTGCCCTCAATGCATTGTTGTTTTAATGGCTAGACAAATCTTCTGAGATATTTTTTTAAAAAATAGTGCTTATTAAGGATATCTCACACCATGTTTGTGATTGTAAATATGGCCACTGGTGCCTACTCCTCTTTGTAGCCTTATTATAATCATAGAGGGAGGGGAAAAAGAAGGCTAGACAATAACCATTATCTATGCCACTCAAACTACAAGGTAAAGATCCCCAGGTTGAGTTTGACTCCTGATGACTACACAACCAAATTCACATTGTTGCTTGAGATAAGGAAGTTGTTTACCACTTCTTTTTTCTAGGATGTCCACACTAGTCCATCACTCAGAATTTTCTGAATGGTTTCCCATCCTAGTTATTAGGCAGATTTGACACTCCTTAGCATTTTTAAGATCAGTCAAAGCTTTCTAAATGTTACCACCTGTGGTGGCTCTCAAATTGCTGCCTTTGATTATTGTAACGCAAATGGTGGACATCGAATAGTAGAACATTTCTGAAGTAGATAATTTTTTAAAATCTAAATTACTTACTGAAAAAAAAAAATCAACATGAGAAGTCCACATATTTTATTGGAAGTATCTTATATACTTTCATATTTTATATATCAGAACCACAAAAAATACAGAAAGGGCTATAGTGCATAAAGTATCCAAGGCATAACTCTGTGGACAAATTAACTGAGTGAAATGGGAAATGAAATACAGACTAACAATTCAGAAAAGAAAACTGCAAAAAAAAATAATAATACTGGTTAGATTTAAGAAGTATAAAAATAGAGAAGTAAATATCATATTCTGAAAATAGCTAGAGCACATAAGGTTTTTTTTAAAACAGCTATCTGGGTAGATTCTTTTACAAATGTTGGTCAATTTTCTCCCAAGAAATTCAATATTAATGTACCAGTGCAGGTAAACCTCCATCCTATGTCATGACAGTCATACGTTGAGGCACTCATGTGACCGACCTGATTTTACCATATTTTTGTGACAATTGTTAAGCTAACCTAGCATTCTTATCAGTGGTGGGATTCAAAATTTTTTACTACCAGTTCTGTGGGTGTGGCTTGGTGGGCATGGCGTGGCTTGGTGGGCGTGGCTTGGTGGACATGGCAGGAGGATATTGTAAAATCTCCATTCCCTCCCTACTCCTGGGGGAAGATTACTGCAAAAACCCCATTCCCTCCCCACCCCACTAACCTGCTTTCCAGCTCCATTCTCCTGTGCAGGGCAACAAAAGAAGACCCAGGTGATCAGCTGGGACTTGGGAGGCAGAGAATAGATGGGGGCGGGGCCAGTCAAAATTTCCACTACCGTTTCTCCAGAATTGGTCAGAACCTGCTGAATTCTACCTCTGATTCTTATATTATAGTTTAATCTGATTGGTGACCTGGATCTGACCAACCCCAAATTAGGCAGCATTGGCGTCAGATGTTGAAGATTATTGGAAGAACAGACCCAAGGACTGTTAAATTGCAAATTCTTTCCAACCAAGGTTCACCATGTTGTTGGGTACCTCATGATTTCCCCATGATTACAAAAGACTGGGTTAAACACCAAAAGACTGGGTTAAAAGTAAATATATTCTATTTAATATTCTATAAAATAATGCAGTGTAAGCCAGCAACTCACCCAACTGTCGTCTTGCTATGTTAATCCTGCCAACAAGTTGTTTTCTGTGTGGGCTGGGAACATCACTTTTAAAACATATTACAATTTATTCAAGGGTCCAGCTGGAAATAGATGGTTGTTAAATTAACAACTTTTACATGCCTGCAGTACCAAAAGATGTTCTTATGCCATGTTCTTACATTCTCATGCCAGACATGCTTAGAGCTCAAAGCATTGTTAGAGAGTCCACACTCACTTTATGGTCTGTTTCTGTTACTCCCCTCTGGAAGGAGGTTTCCAAGTAGGACTACCAGATTCTGTAACAGCTTTGTTCCCTATGCCATCTGTCTGGTAAACTTGCAAGATTGGTTTTTATCACCATGTATATGTCTATATCCAAACTAGGCTGTGTTGTTTCTCTGTGTCATATATGTGGGTATATGCACCATTTTGTATTTTTTTGTTTTGTTTATTTATTTATTCATTCATTCATTCATGTCTGTGTAGTGTAATTGGAGGTGGAGACCCTTTGAGAGCTGCATGCAATGAAATTTCATTTTAATGTATGCTGATTAGTGTACATTCAAAGTGACAGTAAAGTTATTCTAAGTCTAAGGCACATTGGGATTTTTTCAAAACATTAAGCAAGCGAGGTCCCAAAGGTGCTTTTTCAACAACAGGCAACTGGATTTTCTTTGTTTTTTCCTTGAAGACATTTTGTTTCTCATCCCAGAAGCTTCTTCAGTTCTTCATCCAAGAAACTTCAGGACTGAAGAAGCTTCTTGGATGAGAAGCGAAACTTCTTGAAGGAAAAACAAAGAAAGTCCAGTTGCCTTTCGAAAATCCACTTTTGGGGCCACTCCGACCTGGATGACAGAATCTCCCTGGGCATTAAGCGAGGAAGCACTTAAAGACGTCCGTGCGGGTGCTACCATCTGTCCCCAGCTTCCCCCACAGGAGGCTGCGTGCGCTCCGTCTTTTGTTCCTTTGCAAGTCGAGGGCGCAGAAAAGCGAAGATGGGGGTCTCATTAAAAAAAAAAAAAGTGAAGCCTCCCCTACCCCGACCAACTTCAACTGGCGGGCAGGCGTCCTTCGCCTTCTGCTGAACCGCCTCCCAAGCAGGCGCTCCTTTACTCCCCCTCGCGGAGGGCCTGCCCGGCTTCTGGCCGCTAAAACCCGCTTTCCCTTTTCGCCGTCCGGCTTAGTGCAACGGGAAGAGGAAAAAGCGAGGAGCAGGGAGGAGAGGCGAAGTTCGGCCTTGGTGACGCCACCGCGATCTCGCCTTCCCTCCCGGCCTTCCCACCCACCCACCCATTGCTTTCCCCTTTCTCTTCTCTCTCTCTCTCTCTCTTTTTTGTTCGTTTTGTTAATGAAACCCTGCCCCCGCGCTCCGCCCCAGCGCGCGCTCGCCGTGGGCTGCCCAGCCGAGGAGTTTGTGCGTCAGGCGGGCCCGCGCCCGCTCCCTCCCTCCCTCCCGGCTTTCTTCGCCGCTGCCCGGTCTGCCCCTCGGCACCCTCAACTCCCCGCCACGCGCGGGAGTGGCGCGCGCCCTCTCGCGCGTGCCCATCCAGCCACCAGCGCGCGCGCAGGTGCTTTCCACGCCTCGCCTTGTCTCTTCCCCCCCCCCACCAGCCCACACGCCCCCGCTCCCGCTCCCGCCCTCTTTGTCTCCGCTTTCTCCTCCGCCTCCCCTCCCTTCTCCTCCTCCTCCTCCTCCTCGCCGCCGCCGAAGGAGCGTCACTGGGAAGCTGGAGGGTGGGCTCTTTGGAAGAGAAGGAGGGCGCAGAGAAGACAAAATGAGGGAGGCTTCCCGTTAGCTGCAGGAGCGCCGCTGCCGCTCCATCCCACGTGAAGAGTCGGGAAAGGCCAAGAAGGAACCGCGAGCAGCCGGTCCCTTTTCTTCTTCTCGCTCTCTCTCTCCCTCTCTCTCTCTTTCCTCTTCCTGGACTCTGGAAAAGCAAGAAGCCTGGACTGCCGGAATAGATCCGCCAGCTGACTTTTCTCCGGCCTCTGCCTCTCCCGCTTTTCCCGCTCTTCTCCTGGCATTTGCAGCCCCCCGGCTGTACCCGAGGAAGGGGCCTCGCCTCCCGCGCCCTGGGCCGCTGCTTGCCTTCCGCTGCGCCGCTTCTTCTGCCTTTGGGTTGCAACTCCCTTCCCCATCCCAGTTCGGGGGCTCCCTTTCTCTCTTCTCCAACCCCCCCCCCCCCCCCCCCCCCCCCCCCCCCCTGAATCCCTCCGGTTCCTTTCTGTCTGCCCGCTCTGCCTTCTCCACATCTTGCGAGCGGTCTGGCTCCATCCATCCTTTTCGCGCCGGTTCCTTCCTCCCAACAGCTCCTCGGAACGGGATACACGAATCCACACCCCACCCTTTCAACGTAGGAGAAGCTCCTTTCACTTTATCGCCTCCCTCCTTCCCCCACCCCCCCCACCCCCACCTTCTTTTCCATAGTGCAGGTTCTCTCTTCACTTGTTCGCTTGACCCTGCCTGCTCCCCACAAGAGATTCCCCCCCCCCTTTCTCCCTTGGGTCACTTGCGGGCTTTTCCACATTGGCCCGCTTTCTCCTGCAATTTGACAGCCAAGGAAACGGGGGTAGATGTGGGGAAACCCCCCCCCCCCCCCCCCCCCGCCCTCGATGACTGATTGCTTGACCGCTGGTGTTGGATGTTCAGAGGAGAAAGTGTACAGCCCACTCAGCGATTTCGTCTGAGGGATGCCGGAGGTGGCTGAGATGATGACTTGATGCTTTGCCATGGATGGGTTGAGATGCTTCATGGTTGCCTTGGTCACGCTGCTCCTCTATCGCCCAGGTCCACCTTGGTGCACTGCCCGACACCTGGTGCTTTGGACAGGGTTCCTGGTATTGCTGCCCATCTTACTGTCGGTGCCCGCAACTCTGACTTCCCCAATAGCAGGTAAGGGGACAGAAATGGTTTGTCCTCCAGGTCCCAGGTTTCAGCTTCCTGGCTTCAGTGTCTCTTTCCAGCTTCTTTTGTTGAGCCTTGGGAAAAAGTCCTGATGTTTTACCTTCCCAGCAGATATTGTAGTCAAAGGCTTTTACAGAATCATTCCTGTCTTTCTCATCCTGCCTTCATTTGCAGGACAGTTATAAATAATGGTTTATCCACCAAATGAAAGTGTTTCTGGAATACTATAGGGATGTGCACTGTGAGGATGTAGAACAATTAGGCTTATGCCTCTCTCTCTCTCTCTTTAATGTATCATGGAAAGGAAATCTGTTTGCCTTTTGCTGGGCTTGTATGATTAAATCTGAGAATTACTTTCTTTCTAAAATTGTTTTTACAAAGGCAATATATTCTTTTATTTGCTGGTGAAGTAAATAACCCTCCATCCTTCTCTGTGTGAAAAGGGTAGGAGGCCCTGTCTGTTGGAATGAATAAGGAGTGGCTTGCTGCTTGTAATTCAATTGCGTTTGGAAAATGGATATGCCCCTAACAATTAATATACGTACATTAACAATGTATTTGGAATTTGCATTGTTTTGGGGAACGGTGAAACATTTTTTCAAAATAAGTGCTTAGGTGTTTGGAAAGGTCTTAGTATTGGTTTCTATATTCTGGGTGCATTTATTTGCAGCTCATTGTAGAATCACAAGGGCTGGAAATGAGAGCAACATATAACTGTACGGTTAAACCTTGTTCACATTTGTGTGTTCAAATGGATCTGGTTTTGCAACACTCATCCTAGTTTGCTAGCATTAAACTGCAAGTCTATTTTATTTTGCTTTCTACTTATAGTAAACTTTGAAATCCAGCTGGGTAATTGAATTATATAGGTGGTCTAAATAAATTAAATAAATCATAAAGTTGGCAAACACATTATCTAAATAATTTCCATTTCTAACACGATTTCTTCCCTTTTCCCTCCTTGATTGCCTGCCTGCCTGTCTCATAAAAAGAAAATACCACAGGAAAACCTTATTACAAACTTCCATGTGAACTGAAGTTCAGCACACCTGGAGGGTACTAAGAGAGGGTACTAAGATGGAGAAGTCTGATTTATCTAAAAGTTCAATTACTTCCAGGTACATTTGCCTGCCGGTTGAAACAGTTCTTATTGGCATACCAGTACTGATAAAAGTGATGTTGGTAAGATGTTGGCTTTCTCTAGAACTCACCTAGCTACAATTTGGAATTCCCATCCTGATTCTCCACTTGGAATGTTCTTTTCAGCAAATGGCAGAAAACACCTATCATACTTTTATTAAAAATTGAATGATCACAATACCTAAGCCTTCTCAGCTACAGTTGATGTCTTGTTTGAATGTTATGCTTAATCACAGAATAAGTAACATTTTGTCATTATGTTCCAAATACTAAGAAGCAACATTGGAAGAGAGCTGGGGAAATCAGAGTTGGATTCTCAAGATTTATAGTACCTTCAGGATTGAAAAAAATCAAGTTGGAGCTTTGAGAAAGGGCAAATTTCTTACTCTGGAAATTGAGGTGGATTTAAAAAAAAAGATGTAACAGCAGTGTGGATTGTGATTTGGATTCCTAGGGAAGGATTCAGGTTGGGAAAGAGATCAAGTGGATCAACATGTGTTGAGCTATGGTTTAGATATGAAATTGATATAATTGATTGAATAACCATTGTTAACTGCTGTAGTTAATGCAATTAGACATAACATATAGCATGATATAGATCACAATAATTTGGTTTGCTCAACATGTTAAGCCAAAGTAAACTTCTTGACATAATGTGTTGCATAAACAAGGATTGATCCTTGTGGACTTTTGTACGTTTCTAGGTTAGATTCAGAGATATTCTCGCTACCCCATTTCTAGCTGAATAGAATATACTGAGTGAAAGATGTGTCAAGAGATTCTGCAGTTTGTAGAGTATGGACATCTTTTAAAAAGCGCCTTGTCTTAATTATTATGCACTTTTATAATTTGTATATACTATTGTCCCTTGGAAATGATATATTGAGGCTGAACAAGCTGACTAAAATTTGGAATCTGCAGTTCTACCTTATCTGAAAGATACCATGTGGAGAAGACTGACTTATATATCCTACTGTTTGACAAACTGACAAGACTTCTAAGATCTCTTGCAAAACGAATGGCTGGCATTCTTCAGGTCTGCAAGGCAATTTACTTTATTCAGGTTTTACTACGCTTCAGGTCTTGTAGTCATTATTCAACTAGTGCAGGCTTTACCAAGATCTACTAGATAAGTTCAGCAAGAATGATTAAATTTTACCAGCACATTTATCCTAGTTCTTTTCTTTCTCCTCGTTATGTCAGGATTAACTGTTCTGCACTGACATTTTTTCCTTCTCTGAAGTAACTGTCTTCTGTGTTGTTACACATTTTCCTGTCTGCAGTCAAGACAGGTGGAGCTGCAGTGGAAGTTGAACAGGTGATTTGTGGAAAAGGTACCTGGATGCACTCTGGGAATTAGTTTGACACCCATTCTCAAATACACTCTTCCTTGCCTCCTTTTCTAAGCAGATCTGAATCTCTTTTCCATTAAGGAGGCATGGATATCTTTATAGGCATCTACTACTGGAAATGTGATTCTGTTTAGGAGAATTTGAATAACCTGATTTTGAAAAATCACTTGATTTGCCCAGAGAAATAGTTTTCAAAAACTTATTTTTAAATTGACTGAAAAGCCTTATCTATGGTTTGAACTATCCTACTGATAATTTTTTCCAGACTTCACAGTTTTACTTTTTTCAGCAAATAGATTTTTTTTAATTTATGCAGGTGGATTTTTTCTCTTGGCTTTGTAAGTATAAACATGTACTTGTTGAGTTATGACAGTGTTGTTGTTATTAATATTACTTTTAAAAAAGCTTCTATGTTCTGTGTTTTTGTTATAATATTATAATCATATTTCTTTTGCATATTGTTCAGAGTATTCTGCATGAATTGTTCCATTGTATAAGCATATTGTCAGTTTTAAAACAAGATATTTATTCTGCTATCTAATTTGCACTAAGCGTAGAGTTATCTTCTATTTTAACCTATTTAGCAAAAGTAGTAGCTTAGAGGTTAGATCGGTTATTGTATCAATCCTTCAAGTTTTTCAAAACAAATTGATATTGTAATAATTATAATGGCCTGTGAAGAAAATGAAGACTTTGGTGATAGCAATATTTCCTTCCTTCCTTCCTTCCTTCCTTCCTTCCTTCCTTCCTTCCTTCCTTCCTTCGACTTACATGCCAGTCCAATAGATAATTGACCGTAATCAACTTACGATCCCACTTCACTTAAAGATTAAAACCACTAAGAAGTAACTAGATAAATGAACAATGTTATATAGTAAATATCCTATGCTGCAGGACCATTGTATATCATTAATATTTGTTATTTTTTAACTGGTACATATTCTAACCATTCATTTAGTGACTATCCACAGTTACAGTGGCACTGAAAAAAATGACTTACAAGCAGTCCTCACACTTAAGTCCCTTGCAACATCCCCACAATACTATTATCACAATTCAGGCACTTTGCAACCATCAACTGGCCACGAAGTCAGTGAGGGAAGCTGGATTGACTTCGATTCGTTTAACTGCAGTGATTCGCTTAACAACCATGACAAAAAAGATCACAAAATCAGGCCAGACTCACTTAACAACCACCTTGCTTATCAAGGTAATTCTGATCCTGATTGTAAGGATAAGTTAAGGACTACTTGTACACATATTACAATGTATTTGGTCCAAAATTTGTTGAAGCAAACCCATATGTATCTTTCATGGCGGAATTGTTTGCTTAGAAGAGCAGATTCTTTGCCTCTTTTTAGACTAGCAAGATCATTTATTCGAAAACTAACTAATTAGAAGTTAAGACATTTCTAAAGCAAAGGTTGGTATGTAATTAATTGAACGTAACAACATGCCTCCCCTGACATTGACAGTAAATTTCCCTGCTCTGGGTCCCTATGTTTGTTGTTTGTATAATAATATAATTTTGAATAAGTATGTGGTTGGTTATATGCTTTGAACATTAAAATATGTCCATATTGCACTACCAGTCCTTTTACTTTTTAATAAAGCCATATTTTTCTATTCACATTTGAACTGGAAATACAGAGTTTTTCTTCCACCAGGGTTTTGTAGGAGAATAATTACTTCAGGACCAAACAGCTTTTAAAAAATTGCCTTTAATTTGGTTTTTCTGTTTTTTTAAAAACAATAAATGAATTTTAATTTTGTAATTTATTTTTAAGCATTGTTGGTTTTACTACAATGGTGTTATTTAGGACTGTTTTATTGCTCTTTTGTAAACTACCCTGAGCTTTCATGAAAGAGAGAATTAGTAAAATAATAATAATAATAATAATAATAATAATAATAATAATAGGAAGCAGTGGTTTGATCCAAGAAAGTAATGAAAGAGAGAATATGGGTGTTTTAAGAATTACCCCAAGACTTTGAACGATAACATTCTATTTATCTATTTATTTATTTTATTATTTACTTTTATTATTATTTACTTACTATTTATATGTGAACCAAACCAATGCTTTTATTAGTTATACATGCAGTTTTTAAAAAATTACATGTGTAGGAGTTACTATTTATTTATATGACTACAAGGAATTATTTTAAACTAGATTAATTTAAAGGGTTCTTAAATAAACCTCTAATACTTGTTATTAATTTTTATCCATGGTTTTTAAACATTCAATCTGGTCCTTGATAAAAAAAAAATCCATGAACTTAGTTTGAAAACTTTTACTAGACAGTAAAACAAATTATGATGAACCATAATTAAGAGAAGGGAAAATTTCACAAAAATAAAGTTTTGAGGTAATGAAATCTCCTAATACAATCCTACTCTGAAGTCTGGAAGGCTAATTAAAGCCTGCCTTTTGTTTGGACCATAATAAGTTGATCCTCTAGCACAGGACTGTCAAACTCGATTTCATTGAGGGC